GCATGGAAAACCAGTCTGCAATTTAAGTGACCCAAGATGGCTTTCACTGCCTAAAGAAACAGCGCCTCTATGAAGATAAGCAGCTGTTGACCAAAAAAAAAATCTTACAACTTACATCTACCTTTTCAAACATATGCCACAACAGATACAGACTACAGCAGCCTACAATTCTCTGACAAACTGTCCCAGTATTATCTTTTATTTTTAAAAACATCACACCTTTTTTTTTTCTTCAAAATAGACCATTGCTTTTTAAGATTTAAATCGACACAATCAGTTGCTGGCTAACTGCAAAGCTATTGCACATTAACTGGAAAAATCCCCCTCACACACACCAAGCAGATCAATGATGCAAGTCAAAAACGCAGGAGATTATCCACAGAATACCAGATAGCTCATCAATGCTCCAGCACAGCAGGGAAGTCACAGTCAACCCATGTTAAGGGAACCGTTAATTGTTTTCAGGTAAGTCACTTCCCTGAAGTGTAATTTACACAGTACTGCATTCAAATATATAACAAAGAAAAACCCAAACCAAAAATCATTATTGAAACATGCAAGAATGAAGAGCTAATTGCTGAAAAGCCCTCCATCACAGATTAAGGAACAGTAAGAAAACAGTGTAGCTGACTGACAGCCAGACTTCATTTTCTATTGTCAAATACATTAACAGGAAAAACAGATTTCAGCTTCATGGAGACAAGAGACATTTTGTTAAATAAGGCTATGACTTGTCTCCAGTCAATTCATTGTCTAATCCGTTCTAATCCATTGTCTTTCCAACTTTTATCACAACTTAATTCACCACAAAGGTTAATTCTTGTAGTCAGTAGCAAAGATGACATATAATTGGTTTTAATTCCTACCTTTCCATTCATATCTCTGGCAGCATCTTTTGCATCTGCTGGACTCTCAAACGTGACGAATGCAAATCCTCTGGACTTGTTCGTTTCCCGATCTTTCATCAAAAGGACTGCAGAAACAAAGTCACATTAGCCTTCCTTGTGATTCCCAGTAAGGAACACTTTACCTTTATTTAACCTTTTAAGCTCAGAACTTCTTAGAGGACATGTAAGCGCCATCATTTCAGATGATCAATGCCAAAAAGTCATCACAGCTGTGTTATTGTTTTCGTATTATCATCTTAAAAAAATTCCTCTTTACCTTCCACAATGCGTCCGTATTTGCCGAATACAGCCTCGAGGGCTTTTTCATTGGTCTCTGTGTTCAGGCCCCCAATGAACAGCTTCCCAGGACGATCTGCTTCAACCATTTTGATTCTGTAAATGACCTACTAAAAAAGAATGAGGCCGTTACTAACAGAACATCAGACTGCAATAGAGCCTTCATTCTATATAACCAACTTCTGTTCTTAAAAGCACAAGCAAATTTGCTTTAGAAAGATGTTAGGTAAGAGAYAAGAGGTACACAGAATGTTAATAGATTACATTTTTTTGTAATGGGAGTAACTGGAAGTAGCATCAACAGTTATTTCTTGACATTACATAGTGTATTTCAAACATATTAAGTAAAATTTTGAAAAGTGAAACAAAACACTCTTAAAATAAAGCAATAATGGTGAATGTAAAAACTCTTCCAGAGGGGCTGCTCTTCTTGCAACTGATGGCAATCACAGCACACCTTTCACTTAAATTCCGGATGTTTCAAGTCATTTACTCGAGATGTCGAAGTAACACAAAGCTATTAACTCTTAAAAGCATCTTGGGTCCCTCTTTACATATTAAGCTCATACTTGGTTTTTCTTAAAATACATCGAACCTATACTGAAGTCCTGGCCTACATAACGCGTGCAACTGAACAGCCACCAGATCACCACTGCAGTTCAACACAGCAATATCACAGCTACAGCCACGGGGGCGGGAGGGCTTAGAAAAAAAAAAAAAAAAACAAGAGCCGAAGACAAAGCCAAATCTCTCTCCGTGCCTGGCAGGCCGCCCGGCGCCTGTGGACAAGCGCAGCCCGCGTGTCTCCAGCGCGATGGCGGGAAGGCCCGCGCCAGCTCCGGCACACATGGCGAGTGGGGAGCAACCACCCCCGGTGCTGGGCCGGGCCGGACAACGCGGGACCCGCGCTCAGTCCCCTCCGGAGCGCCGAGGGGCGTCGGACCCTCTGCGGGCTCAGGAACCGCCACAAAATGGCGGCCGCCTGTGGCAGCGGCGCGGCCCCTCCGTCCCCGCTCCCGGCGGCCTCCTCGGCGCTCGCCCACCGCGCGACTCAGCCCCGTCCGGGCACACCGACGCGCCGTACCCCCCGTGCCCTCCTCGCCCTTCCCGGGGATGCGGAGAAACTCCCACACCTAAAATGGCAGCCGCCGCGCCTCAAGCCTCCAGGACCCCCATTCGCCCCACCGCATCCGCGCGGATCCTGCCGCCCTACCCAGAGCTGGACAAGGAGGGAGTGCGGGCCGGATCTGGCTCCGCTGCGCCTCCACCCCGCCGCGAAGGGCGCATCACGCGACGCCCACCACACGGACCTTTCGCCACGGATCCCCGTAGCGCACCGCGATGCYGCCCGCAAAGCCCCGGCCCGCACTCCCCGGCCAAGCTCACCTCCACCCGCGCCGATCCGCAACTGCGCAATGGGGGCGAACAAAGGCACTGCGGGACTTTATAGCGTGACGTCACCCGGCGGCCGGAGCCCCGGATGCGGCGGCGGCGGCAGCTTCGGCACCGGCAGGGGGGGCCCGTAGCGCGTTCCCGCCGGGGCCGGGAGCGGCCGGCGTACGGCGTTTCGCGCCGCCGGGAGCGGCCGGCGTACGGCGTTTCGCGCCGCCGGGAGCGGCCGGCGTACGGCGTTTCGCGCCGCCGGGAGCGGCAGGTGTACGGCGTTTCGCGCCGCCGGGAGCGGCAGGTGTACGGCGTTTCGCGCCGCCGGGAGCGGGCAGCGGCTCGAGGAGCGTGAGCGGCGGGAAGCGAGCGGGAGTGGACCGTGGGAAAGGCGGGCAAAGCTTCCCGCATTGTTTGCCGGCTGTGAGTCGTCGCGAAGGAGTGAGGCCACGCCTGGCGTGTTGTGTCCAGTTCTGGGTTCCTCAGCACGAGAAAGGAGCGACTGGAAATAGTAATCATCGCAAAGATAGTTAGTTAGGCATCTGGAGCATCTCTCTTTCGAGAAGTGGAAGCTGGGCCTGTTTAGTCTAGAGAGGAGGAATGAGAGGGGATCTTGCTAATGCATGTGAATATCCCAAAGGCAGGTGCCATGAGGATGGTGCCAGTCTTTTCAGTGGTTCCCAGTGACAGGCCGCAGAGCAATGGCTATAAACTAAAACACAAGAAGTTCCACCTCAACATGAGAGAAAACTTTACATTGAGGGTAGCAAAATCCTGGAACAGCTGCCCACAGGGGCCATGTAGTCTTCCTCTCTGCAGGCACTCCTGTGTCATCTGCCCTGTCAGGGAGATTGGACTGGATGCTCTCCTAGAGGTTCCTTCCAATGCTAACTGATTTTATAAAGCAGCAGATGTGTCACTGCTTTGGAAGGAAAATCACAGCAGTGTCAGTTTAACTTTGGAGTCTGTGCAGAAGCTTAACCCAGTTCAGTTAGAACAGCCTTAAAGGGATTTTTAATTCGTTTGATTAATACATGTGCATGTCAGTGCCCCTTCCTTAGAGAAAAGCAGCAAACCAAAACAAGTGTGGTTTAAAATTAAATGTGTCATTGCTGGCACAAAGTTTTGCCATTTTGGTTCAACTAACTCCATTTGTTAATTACGTATAGCTGAAGTTCAACTGTAATTTTCTTTGCTGGCTAAACACAATAGTGGAAAAGTTAGGAGGAAATCTGCTCATGCAAAAATTGGCTAAATTTTCATTATTTGAACCAAATGAATTTCAATTTAGATTATCTAAATTGAATACTAATCAGTCATGAAGGCTTATATTCTTAGTGCCACCCAGTCTAATCACCACATGGTCTTTTAAGTTCTCCCTTGCAGTTCTCCAGACTGTTTCTGGGAGATGGCAAAAAGTCCGTGTACTCTACAGCCAGTAACAGCCCAGTGCTGTTACAATTGCACAGCTGCATAATTGCTGCATCCTGATAAGAGAACATGAGACTCTATTCGTATCTTCAGTTTTTCCGTCTCCTCTGTCAGATACTGATATTCAACTGCTTGGCATCATGTTTGTGGCATCACTGGGAATGTGTTGTACCAAGATGCCACGCGGCACTTCCCACTGTTGTGGCTGAAACATCGCAAACAGCATAGAAAAAAACCATAAATGTAATTCTTCTAGGTTGCCTTGGAAAAACTTGGATTTCCACTCCAAATTTCTGAGCTGGTAATATCTGGTTTAAGCTTTTGTCGCTCACTTTCTACAACTCCCTGAAAGGAGGATGTAGCCAGGTGAAGAAGGTCTGACTCTAATCCAAGTTAACAAGGAACAGAATGAGAGGACAGGCTCAAGCAGTGAAAGGGGGATGTTAGGTTGGACATTAGGAGGAATTTCTTCACAGAAGGGATGATTAGACATTGGAATGGGATGCCCAGGGAAGTGGTGGAGTCACCATCCCTGTGGGTGTTTAGGAAAAGACTGGATGTGGTGCTGAATGCCATGGTCTGCTTGACACAGTGGTGTTAGCTCCTATGTCAAACTACATGATCTCAGAGGTATTTTCCAACTTAATTTATTCTGTGATTTTTTTTTTTTTTTTTTTTTTTTTTGCGGGTGCTAAAACCCGAAAAGATATTCTTGTATCATATAATCCTAGGATGATTCCCTAGGGTTGGAAGGGACCTTGAAGATCATCTAATTTTACCACCGCCACCCGGTCGTGGGCAGGGACACCTTCCACTAGACCAGGTCGCTCAGGTCGTTCAATCTGGCCTTGAACACTTCCAGAGATGGGGCGTCCACAGACACTTCATGTAACCTACGCTAGGCCTCGGCAATCTCCCAGGACAAAATTTCATCCGATATCCCATGTAACCTCGCCTTCTGGGTGCGGGAAGCCTCTCCCCCGTCACCTCCCGTCCCTCAGGGTGCCCTGCCCCAAGATGGCGCCTGGCGCTCCTCCCCCCTCACTGCGCAGCCGYCGTGGCCCCGAGCGTGACGCGGCGCTCTCGGCTCCGCCTGTGCGGGGCCGTCTCCTCCAGASGCTGTCCGGGTTGGTCGGGGTTGCAGTCTTGCCTCATGGTGCCTTCGCTTTTCCAGGTTGCAAGATGAGGCTGCTAGCTGCTACACTCTTGCTGGTGGCGCCTCTCGGCGCCGCCTTTTACCTGCCCGGATTGGCCCCCGTCAGCTTCTGTGAGGAGGGTGAGGAGAGCGACAACTGTAAGGTGAGAGCCGCCACTGGCGGGCCCGAGACGGGCGGTCCCCCCACTCTTCCCCGCTCGGGGCTCCCGCGGCCAGGGGGCTCCGCGGGGTATTCTCAATCTGTGTCCTGCGGGCGACAGCCTTTGCTCCGGGAAGCCACGTACCCCCAGCTCGCATTCCCTTTTCCCGCTGAACTTTCCAGACAGCGCCAGGAGGATCCTTAAGTCCTTGGTCTTGGCGTGGCCGGGGCCTGTCAGCAGCCGAGGATGCCTCCGCCGTGGGGTAGCAGCACTTGCTAGTTAGCCGCGCGTTTCTTACCAGCCATACATTTGTTTCTGAAAGTCGGTATTTTCATACTTTTTCTCCCCGTTTCCTGTTTCAGTCACTAATTGAGCTCTTCGTGAACAGGCTGGACTCTGTTGAATCCGTTCTGCCATATGAATATGATGCGTAAGTACATCCCAACCGGTTTCCAGAAGCGTTTAGAAAGGCTCTTTTTTGTTACAATAAGGGTATCAGTATTTTGGCTGTAGTGATGGAAGAGTGAAATCAGTGCTCAGCGGCAGGAATGAAGTACAAGAGGGTGGGAAGGATGAAGGCCACACCTGTGCCACCTGACCGTCCTCTGTTATTCTCAGAAAAAAGCCTGCAGGGTTTCTTATGGGTGCTTTTTTTTTGAGATGAGTACGAGACTTAGTGTTGACTGTTTGACGTATTTGAAAGTTCTTCCTATTAGGCAAATCTAGGGAGACAGATGCTTTGAGTTCCTTTTTTTCCCCTGGTAATTGAAAGAAACTCAAGAGACCGGTCACTGTTGCCTTTCCTTTTTTGCCAAAAGCTCTGTAAGTAAATCTTGGTTTGTTGGTTTTGGTTTTTTTTTWAATTTTTATTTTTTTCTATGAAAACTGTTGTCTGCTCTTGCAGATATTTATAGGCCTAGAAAGCAATGATAAACAATATAATTAGCAGTCTTGCTGTTGGGCACAGAAAAGAAAACTTGCAGGTGTTGTAGATCTTACACTGGACAGTGCAGCAGTAGAAGCAAGACCAGAGACTAGGTAAAAAAATTCTAGTGTCTGTGTTTCCATTACACTTTATGGAAGCCAGTGAATTTAGGACCATCGATTGAGGAAAAGTACTTCCGTACCCAGGATAAGTGTGGGTTTGTTTGTTGTTACCTTTTTTTTTAACGTAACCTGCTGCTGCCTGTGTAATGAAAAGCCAGTATAGTTGCATTCTCCCATATTTGGCAGTTTCAGGCTGTCTGCAGTTGAAAAGAATTGGTGAATGGTGTTTGCCAGTGTGGCACTGTAATACTAAAAGCTCTTCCCTTCTTTAAAATGTGTTTCATGCCACCTTTTTTTGCAAAGTCACTCAGTTTTTTTACTACCAGTGGCTGAACTGTCAAAAAATAACAAAAATGACTATGTTAAGGACATAAACTAAGGATTTGTTTTAGGCTGATATTAACAGTTATATGTCAATTTAAAAGAAAAGGTAACCTTTGCTACTTTTTCTCAGTTTTGACTTCTGTCAAGATAAGGAAGAGAAGAGACCATCAGAAAATCTTGGACAAGTGCTGTTCGGGGAGAGAATAGCATCATCTCCATATAAGGTTATTTTATCCTTTGAAGCTGATCCTGTTTAAATTTGACAGCTGTCATTYTGATGGCTTTAATCCATAGACATAGCTGAAGATTTGATGACTGGGTGATTATTTTTGTTTATATTTTTTAATATAGACATTGTGGACTTTATGTAATAAAACCAGAACTTCTCCCAGCCCAAAGGCATCTTAGGGTGGTTAATTACAGTTAGGAAAGAGAGCCGGTAATCACCCTTCTTGCCTGTTCTCTGTGGTAGAGAAGTCCAGAAATTATGTCTGGGGTAGTTATTTAATAGCTGGTTATAAGGCGCATTAGGTGATCTGAAATAATTTGCGTATTAAATGTAACATTGGAGGCTATAAAGTGGTGGTTCAGGAACTGTTCATATACTTGGTTCTGGTATTGGGTGACTTCCAGAATGGGAAAGGGAGATTAAGTTATGGCTCACTTGCAGCTTTTCTCTCCTTGTACATGCTTGTCATCTAAAACAAAATTTTTCATTGTTGATGCGTATTACTTAGAACATCCCGTAAAATAAATGTGTGGAAATATTTTGTGGATTAGTTGTGTAGTATTTTTCTGACCAAATATAACATATCTAAAAAGCTGTGTCATCAACTTGGGACAGTTACTAGCAATGGAGGAGCTGTTGTCAAACAGTGGCTCTTGGGTTTCAGAGCTGTATGCTGTTTAAGTACAGTTTCCAGGTTGGGATTTGCCAGTGAAGCTGAAAACTGCGCTCTGTGTGTGCGTGTAGGATGGTTGCTAGATAATTGAAATACCTGCCACAGTTTCTGAGTCTGCTGTTGCTCAGTCATTAGGAACCTAACAACATCTTTTCATTAGTCTGTTAAACAGGTGATTCCCCCTCCCTCGTAGGAACTGCTCTGAGATATCTCCTTGATTCTCTGAGCTAATGTAATTTTAAGTCTTGTAACTACTCATCACAAGAAGCTCTTAAGTATGCGGCATGATGGATCATTTGGACTGGATACATATTGAATAGATAAAGTGTTGTAACAATTGTCTTTGGAAGGTTGCGCACTACAGTAATGAGGAAGTGCTGTTCCTGATTAGCATTTGGGCCTTGTAACATTCGAATTTTCAGTCGTGTGTTAAGTTTACTAACAGGTAAATCCTAACTGGGTTAGAAGTTTGAGATGCAAATGTGAGTGTATTTGTGTTAGGTGATGTCTTTGCTTGAAGCTTAGATGTTGTGCAACTTGTGTTTTTGGTAGCCTTGTCTAACTAGGTTGTCATAGGGAAGCCAACTAAACACGAAACATTCAAGAACGATGTAGTGAAAGTCTGTTTTAGCAAATGATGAAATTATAATAAAACAAACTAGTAAAAGAAAAAAACAATACCTTTTCTACTAATTTTCAATTTTTCAGTCCTCAGGATTTAACCAGWCACAATTTATCTGGGCTATTGAAGTGATTTTTAGTGATGTGACTACTGGGGCTTGGTGTGTATTATATATTTTGACACTGAAGTTAAATCTGTTGTATGGGAAATTCTGGCTTTAGAAACTTCTGTAGCAAGGAGGTGAAGTATCAGAAAAAAAAACCCTACTTTACCTGAAAAAACGCCTCTAAAATAGATGTTTGAAGCAAAATTGGAGTGTCTCTTTTTTGTGTGCTTTTTTTAACAGTTCACCTTTAAAAAGCAAGAAACTTGCAAGAAGGTTTGTACAAGATCATATGACCCAGGAAACAGTGCTGATAAAAGCAAACTGGCTTTTTTGAAGAAAGGAATGCAGCTGAATTATCAGCATCACTGGTAAGCCAAAACATGTGCTTGAGGTTGGCTTTATTTTCTGCTTTTGGACATTTGTTATCTATGTTTTAAGCGGTTGCTTACTTATATGGGATAGTTGTCTCTCTACTGTGCATCTTGTAGGCACTACTGAAAAGTGTGTATGTTACGTGAATATGAAATGTCACTGTGAAGTGAGGTGCATCCCTTTCTGAAGGACATGTTCTTTGATGATTTCTGTCTAGGATTATTGATAACATGCCTGTAACGTGGTGTTATGATGTGGAAGATGGACAAAAATATTGTAATCCAGGATTTCCAATAGGATGTTTTGTTACTCCAGATGGTAGAGTTAAAGACGCTTGTGTTATAAATGTAAGTAGTGGAACTTTCCTCATTAATATAGGGTGGTTTCATTTGTGGTTTTACTTTTAAGCTTTCTTTTCCTGAGAAAGAATAGATACGTTGGTAAACATGGTTAGTGTTCACTAACCAGTGTCAGTGTGGACACTGACAGAGTCAAGTACTGTTGCTGTGTGCAGCATCTTGCTGATACAGTTGTCCAAATAAAATGTTCATACTGGTCTTTGACCAATATATGTTTTATAAAGTTATAAAATAACAGTATGGGTGTTTAAAATTGAGGTTTTGTTCTGAAATTTCATATGTATCATCCTAGTACCTATTAATTTTTTGTCCATGCTGTATTCTTGTGCAAATCTTTCCTTTATCAATATCAGATAGAAACTTTCTAGCAAAGACCTAGAAATGAGCTCTGTGTTCTAGTTGCAAAAATTATGTCTAGCACAGTTTACAAATGAAATGTGTCAAGGTTTTCCCGGTTAACAAAGTCAGTGGTGACAGGGAAAATTATGTTGACAACAATTGGAAATGTGTCAGTCATCCTGGGAGTTCCATTGTGAGCTAGTACAGTTACAAATGATAGTGATAGAGTCTTATTTCTCCCGGGTGAGGGACAACACTCCTTTGGTGAGGAGAGAGCTCTCCATGATTCTCCTTTGCCACTTGACCTGCTTCTTGTGTACAATGCAGTCAGTTTATTTGTGTGCAGCAGGTCTGATGCCTCTTTGAAGTGTTCCATTTGTCATGCACATTCAATTTCCTCTTTCTAGAGTCACTTTCCAACTCAGTTACGCCTCAGGCTTCCCAGATTCTTGAAAGTTATCTTTTGTACAGGTGTATTAATGTTGAAGTGTTTCCTTTTTGTTGCTCCTTCACGTATAGCACCAGTCTCATTTTAAAGTTCTTCACTTCTTGTGCCCTCTCCTGTTGGAGAAGTTGCTCAGTCTCCTGATCATGTTTTGTAGTCAGAGTTTAACAAGAAGAATACTTTCTACCTCTTCAACCACGTTGACATAACAATCATGTACCACAGCGGGAAAGATGAAAACTGGCCTGGTGCAAGACTGGTGATGGCAAGACTGAGACCACAAAGGTAACTGTGCATTAAAGCAGCAGGTTCTGGTACTTTGGAGTCCTAACAGCAGTTCCAAAGAGAACAGTTTCTTAGAGATATTATTGGTATTAATAAGTTCTGGGGAACTTGTTATTCAGATTCCTATAAAGCTTTCAGTATGCTGTTTTATGTCTGGATCTGTTTCCAAGGACAGTTCCACAACTTAAATGTCATTTAACTTCACCTTTAAAATGTTGCTGAAAGTCTCTTGTGATGGAAAAGCTGCTAATGCATATTCTTAGGCTCTGTTGTTTGGGTCGGGTTCTTTCTCATGTTTTGATTAATTTGCAACTGGGTGTGCATGCTTTCAGATACTCAGTAAAAGGATGTTTCTCAGTGTAACACTTTCCCACCTCAGACCTGTTACCTGTCTCCCAGATGTACTGTGGATGAGTATACAGGTTTACTTTTTCCTGTGTAAGTTTGGATACTGAGGTATAGGTGAAATACTGTGGTAGCACTGGTATTCWGAACTGCAGATGACAACAATTAATTTCCTAAGAAGACTAACTGATTTTCTTAAATAGTAGCTTCTTAGTTTTTGTGTTAACCGAGGTGGAGGTGAATAGCCTTCAGAGGGCAGGAGACTGAATCAACTACTTTGGCCTCTGGTCTGTCTGTTCGTGTTTGGTACCACATGACTTGATTGTACTTGGTTTTTCTTTTGTGAAGGTACAGTGTGTTTTTAGTGAATTATACTTGCTATGCAAGTTTATTCCTTCCATTTACATGTGCTCTGAGATGGTGCCCGGAGGAGTCTACCAATCTTATTCATTCCTTATTAATGCTTTATCAGTAGCATCCTGAATGGCCAAAAAATGAGAATTTGTCTTTTCCTTGGCAGTGCAGACCATGAGGGGGCACAGTTAGGTTGCACATAACCTTAGTTTTGTCATTCTTTGACCAGGTGCTTTGCTTCAACCTTGAAGCTCTCCCAATGGGGAGTATTTGTAGTTGGAGCACAATGCTAATTTAAAAAAAAAAAAAAACAACTAAAATGAAAAACAATTATTTAACTTTTTCTCCCCATTAGCTACAAACATACAGATGAGAACAATTTAAGTTGTGAAGGTCCACCTATGGAGATTCCTGGAGAATTCACCAATAAACTGAATTTGGTTTACACTTATTCTGTGACATTTGAAGTAAGTATTAAATCCGTTACATGAATTCATAATTCCCGCCAAAAATGAAATCAAAGCAATTGGATAACTTGCTGATAGCCATAACTGGTTTATAGTAGTGTAAATTCCATAAGGATGGTCTTGCAAAGCATTTTAAAAAAAATCTTAACAGGTTTTCATTACTGTAATTCAAGTGATACAATGAATATATACATTAAGACCTTTTTGCTTCCTGTCTTATTACTGATAAAAGGTTMGTAGATTGAATAACTGTGTAAGAGTTGTCTTCCTTGAGGTAAACTCTTCTTTCAGATTTCAGTCAGGGCGCTGATTCATGTTGAAGAACAGTTTATATTTGGGGACATTTTTTGTTAAATGTTGACTGTAAAGTTTTTTTTTTTTCCTCGTGAGGTTGCAGTGTTTGTCTCATTTTGTGTTGTTTTTATTGTGTTTACTGGCTTTTCCTGAGTAGGTGATCATGTATTTTTTAAAATTAATACTCTAAGGTTTGCTAATACATTCATGCTTTATTCAGCCTGTAACAAGTTAGGAGGAAACTAGGCTTTCTGGAAAATGGGTCTTTACCCCAGCATGGAAAGTGAGCCTCCTGTGGGTGTGACAAGAATTTGGTTCAAGGTACTTCAAACCTTGGTACCTCTGTTCCAGTCTGTCTTGAAAGTATGGTTGTTTTTGTGAAGTAAGACACCAATCTTAGAGAGTTTGGCTTGGGACCACCAGCTTGTTTTGTACAGGCAGTGAAGCAGCCATTGTATGGCAACAGCTTTCATCCTGCCAGGTTGAATTTGATTTGAACCAATGACCTTGAGGTGCAAGGCTCAATGTCCTGTTACTTTTCTCTTGACATACCCAATCCTCTTTAGACTCTGATTTTCGTACATGAATGAGCCTCCTGTCATTGGCATCTGTGTTTAAATGTTGACAGTAAACTGCGATTGAGAACTTCAATGTGAGTTTTGTCTGGTTAATCATGCAATGGGTTAGGTGTTGGGGTACCTACAGCCTTTTTCACTGTTGTGAAGCAGGAAAGGCTGCAGTGGGTTGGATACTTCCAGCAGATGGCACTTCAAAATTGCTTGATCTCTGTTATTCATAAGCCTTGATTAGAAATAATATCTCATCTGTTTTACTTTTTATTAATTTCAAATTAACTTTGAAGGGGAGTGCTTATCAGTGAAAGTGTTTTTCAGTAAGAAAACATCAGTTTCAGTAAGTCAGACCACATAAAGGAGTAAAATGTGCAGCTGTTTTATGGTCCTAATATGGCAGCTGAGTTCTGATGAGAAAGTTATGGTGTCTGCTTTAATTAACTGAAATAGGCAAGGTATTTMGCTCTGTATCTATGAAAGGTAAATATCATCATGGCTCTAATGTTTAGTACACAAGTGTACAAAAATGTAAGCAGGAGAGCATTTTGGTACTTAACTATACAAACTTAGCACCTTGTGAGTAAATGAACGCATTCAGCAGAACTTCATGCCCGTCAGGGGATAGAATTTGGTAGCAGGATAACACGCATGTACATCCAAAGAGACGGGGGAGGACAAGGCTTGAGGGTCAGAAAGAATTCTGACTTGTATGCATGAAGATCCATCACAGAAATATCTGGAAATGAAAGTTGTCTGCCAGGAATCAGAGTGGAAAACAGTCTCTATCAGCCAGCATTATGTCAGAGTGTGAAGAATCCTGTGCGAAATGCATTAAAAGTGATGAGAAAAATGTATTCTAGTTTCTCCTAGAATTTTTCTCTTGAGTATGTTGGACAAAGTTGAATTTTCAAGATCAGTATGCCATGCAGGATATCTTACAGTGATGACATGATTGTTTTTCAACAGCTGGGATCTGCAGTCAGCTACATCCTGGATCACGGAAAGATGAGGCTTAGTGAAGCCTGATTTGAAGGTAGAAGATTTGGATAGGAGAGTTCAATGAAAAGATACTCTTTTAGAGTCTCTAGAAATTAATTAATGCAAGAGAGAGGTCTTACATCCAGGGTTGCTCCCAAGCTTAGATATGAATGCTGACTGGAATGTTCGGGGAACAGATGTGGGTATGCTTATTCCATCTCAAAGACTGCAACACACTTGTACTTGCCTCTATTGATTGACATTAATTGCTGTTTAATTTCCTTCCAGGAAAAGAATAATATTAAGTGGGCTTCCAGGTGGGACTACATTTTGGAGTCCATGCCACATACAAACATCCAGTGGTTTAGGTAAGTTTTGCATTTATTCAGTGAATAACCTTGCAGGGGAGCACAAAGATTTCTTAGTTGTACTTTTAGGGAGATAGAACAGAGTCTGTAGGTTTTCAGTCAAGAAAACTTTTTGCTTTCTTATGCAAAGTAAGTTTTCATCTCTTGGGAGCAATGGTATTACTGCATTTTGTGAAAGGAATGCATCATAAGTGTCTGAAAGGAAAGCAGCTTCCATTGTTTTAATCTGTCATCTCCATTCTGGAGAAGTTTTGAGTGGTTGCTGCTCTGCAGTGTTCTTGTTACTGTCTGGCTTTGACTGCCAAGTGAGAGGTACATATGTGAAATGCATCTTTTGTACTCAGCAGCTGCCTATAGTATAAAGGTCTTTTTTTGTGAGCAAAAGACGTATGTGAAGAGCTCTTGCTTATTTCCCCCCATAGTATGGGAATGATACAAAGAAGTTTATAGTTTGTGCTGAAGTGTTAATGTTTTGCAATGTAAATCTTGAAAAGGCTAATCTGAATAAATTGATCTCTACAAAATATTAAATAGCATAATAATGGTTTCATTGGTTGATAGATATAAAATCTACTTGACAATCTGCTTTAAAAGCTGTAGCTGTTTTACCAGGGAAATTACTTCTTGTAGCTTGAGAAGGAGGAGAATAAAGTAATATGTAACTGTCTTCAGAATATGCAAGGTATCATGAAATACTGTCCTCCTCACTTCTGTCTCCTAAGAAGTCATGGACTGCTTTATGTACCTTTATCTTCTGTGTGGGATAATGCTAAAAAGTCTGAATATTTAAGGCTTTTCCTCAGACCTGAGCTGTACATGTTGTATGAACTGGTACATCTCCTGAAACCTGAATAACTGGATTCAAAGTTTGACTTTTTCTTTGTCTACAGTATAATGAATTCCCTCGTAATTGTTCTCTTCTTATCTGGCATGGTGGCTATGATTATTCTGAGGACTCTCCACAAAGATATTGCAAGATACAACCAGATCGACTCTTCTGTGAGTGAAATTTGCAACTTTTACATGGGCAYATTTTTCTGGCCATAGTGATGTCTATTTCTTAGTTTTGAGTACAGGCTAGAGACACGTATAACTATGATGAGTTTGATACATGCTAATCTTTCTGGGGGTTAAAAATTATTGGAGATACTCTGGTTAACATAGGCTGATGGAAATTGATATTGCCTTTTGCCTGTGGCTGGAAAGTGTGGTTGAATCACATACCTCGTTTAGTTGGGAGATCAGAATACTGTAGTTCATGTGCAACACAACTTCTGACCTCTAGCAGTCTTAGAACTACTTGGTATATGTGTAAATGGTATTTTATTTTATTTGTAAATACAATTCCTGTGGTAATCACTGTGTCAAGCACAGTCTAGTTCATTTCTATTAGTAAGATAACTGAAACCTGTTGCCATCCAGCTGAACCTGTTGTGAGTTCTTTTGAAGTAGGTACTCCTTATAATGGGAAAGCGGCAGGTTCCTATAGTTGAACAGAATATAACTGGTTGTGAGTTAAAAAGACTTGACCAGTAGACCAATTTTCACTCAACCTTTTAGYCATTGGTAAAAGTGGTATCTGCAACTCAAAGATGAGAAGTAATGTCAGATGCTGCAAAAGTTTGAATTTTCACTAAGAAAGTTGTTGCTGTTTATCTCATTGAAGAAATACTTCAGAATGCACAAAAATGTTTCATAATGTAACTAAAACATCTGAAAATACTTCTTTGTGGTTTTGATGTTGAATACATTTTGTTGATGTTAATTGAGACAGTGATTTAAAGTGGAATAATTTATGATGGCTAAACTATCATTTAGTTGATAGTTTTTGTGAGGCTCCTGTTTGATCTCTCCATTAAATTATGTTCAATGTTGTATATTGTGTTATCTTTATTAGTTGATCATTCTTAATGTGATAAAGAGCAAGACTTGCAGAAATTTGATTAGTCTTTGTGAGTAATAGCAGGGATAGGTGTGACTTTTAGAAAATCAGAAGATTACTTTTAGAGTATTATGACTAAGAGAGGATTCCTGAACTCAAGAGAACTCATTTTCAGCAGTGAGAGGTAAAACTCTCACTTTCTTTTGTCTTTTATTTTTATTTCCCCCCTAAAATCCCTTTTGTAATGACTGCTTGAATTTAGGGGACTTAAATCCTTGTTAGATTGTTTTGAGAAATTAAGCTAAATTAATGGTAAAGATGATGATTAGTGCACTTTTGAAAAATTTAGAGTAATTTTGCTCCAATACTTTTTAAAACTCTATAGCCTGCTGCTTGGGTTAGTTGTACTATTACTATCATTATGCTGTATATTAAAGGTTAGCAATATAAAATACTGCTGAATTTTTTTAACGGAAATCTGAATAAATACTCTGACTCACAGCTAATTAGCCAGTAATGAAAGAACTTTGTTAAAAATGGGGTTCTGAGACAAATTGTGGCACATAGTCTCATACAGGATAAATCAGAGATCTTAATCTGCCATTAGTTTACCTTAGAACTAGAAGGTGTCTTTTGAGTGCATTTCCCAGATGAGTTGTTGATAAGAACTCTATACCAACCATTCCAAATCTGTAAACACTTTCTGTGTTCTTTCAGGACCTGAGGTATCAAGCATTTGTTCCTTCTTAGTTTTCACCATTTTGGAAACAGAGATTTGCTTGAAATGCTAGCCTTTGAAACTCTTTAATTCCTTACTTACTGCAACTTGGGAAAAGTCTTTCTTCTGTCTTACCTCAACAATTTTCTTGTCACTATTATAATTAATCCAAGTTCAGACTTACAGGAAAGTTTTGGCTTTATGCTCCTTTGACTGGAAGAACAGTGATGTGTTGGAATTATACCTGGATATCTGGTATAATTTTCTATTAGGTATAGGGTGTGATTTTTAATTTTAATTAGTGTAGTCTTGTTATTAATAGTTTTCAATTTTTGTATTCATGTATCAGTCTCCTGAGAGTAATTTCTGTCAAGCAGAGGTATCAGTATGGGCAAGGTAAAGACAATCCTCCAGAAAAAAAAAAAAAAAGATAACATCATCTGTTGCAATTCAAGGTGCTCTATGTCATTCTCTAGCGTGACCTGCTTTCTTTTTTTCCCTGTTTTTTGGCAAGCTGTAATTCTAGTGGTAAGCAGTCCTTTGAACTGAACTCAGTATTCCTACACTGAATGGAACCTGTAGCTTTTAACTTTGGGGAGTAGAGGGTCTTGTGCGTTTGGTTGTCTGTGGTTGTGTTGGTTTTGTTGTTTGTTTTTTGTGAGTGGAGGTGTCTGTTTTGAGTGACTTTATTGAAAAGTTTTGTTCTTCATTAGTGGTTCCGTAGAGTAACTGGACTGAGGTTTCCCCCTCCTGTTTCCATCCATTCACCTCTGGCAGTCAGGCTGTGTTGGTACTTTTCCCTCCTGATTCCAGGAAGCAAACTTTTGACGAGTACAGAGACAGTTTCATTCTTTTCCAGTATTATCATTAAGACCAATGTGCTTTGAAATCGAAGCAGAAAAAGATAAATGCATGAACTGGATTGAAGTTAAAACTGAACTGAATGCATTGTTTTAGTTTAAATTTAGAATGATGTTCTTTGGTTTGGCTAATTACATTTGCTTTTTCTTGCTTAAAGAGATGAGGATTTTCTCGATAATAATGAGGATGAGGATTTTCTTGGTAATTTTCTTGCCTTTTGCACTGAAACATTAGCAGGTTATAAAATCAATGAGTGATGAATCAGATACAATTAATCTGGCTTTGGATCTTAACTGGAAGCTAATCAAACTTTAAATACGTATTTTGCATCTTGTTTGTGCTAATTCACTATTGCATGATGTATCACTACTGAAGACATTGTTGATTTTATACAGGAAGATGCCCAAGAGGAATTTGGCTGGAAGCTGGTTCATGGAGATGTGTTTAGACCTCCAAAGAAGGGGATGTTACTGTCTGTCTTTTTGGGACAAGGAACACAAATTTTCATTATGACATTTATTACTTTATGTAAGTAACTTCATTAAAGTGATATGTTTGTAGTGTAATAGTAATAAGAAAGATGCAGTATTATTAAACAAGTAATAGAAGCCTTCTTTTGGAAATTAAGTCCTTCCTTTAGTAAAATTAAATATTAATGCAATTCCATAGCAATAACTAGATAGCTTCAGTTATGCTGTTGTAGGTATGGCATTAAAGACATTGTGATATCAGGGCTAATGCAGATTATGGAAATGCTTTCTGTCCAATATGTTTGAGATGAGTTTGCAGCCATATAGAAATAAGAGCAAGATTGCAGGCCAGTGAAATAGTACTGACATGATATTGAGATAATGGGAGCCTACCATAAATAGCCATAAATGCATGTGGTTACGTAATCCGTCACAAGGTGGTGTTTTATTATTGGTTATCTGTAAAGCTTATGACCATTCCTTTTCTTACTGTACAGTAGAATTGGGAAGTACACTGATACTACAAAAGAAGAATCTTTCAAATTTTGTTCTCTGGGTTTTATTCCAACTTTATATTTTTTTCATAGGGCAGCTGCTTTTTTCCATTTATTGCATATACTGTGAGATTTACTAGAATTTTCTTGATAGGCTTGTCTTTCAGTGTTGATCTCTCTGTGTCTTGCTTAGCAGCGATCATTTCCTGTGCAATCAGTGTAGTATGAAAAGAAATCGGTGGCAMGACGAGCCTCTTTGCATGGATGGTGGCATTTTATTTTTCAGCCTTTTGGCTATGAGAAACTTTCTGTTTAAGAGTTGAGGTGGAAATAATGCTTTTGAATTAAATAATGCTGTTAGGGGTGTGTTCCTGTGATGGGGATATACAGGAGCTTATCACTCAGCCTACATTTAAATATGTGGTAGTGAAAGAGATACAGACCGCTGAGAAGGCTTATTCCAGGGGAATTTTGACATGTGTCCACATATAACTGCATCTTTTTGTTTCTTTAGTCCTAGCTTGCCTTGGTTTCCTCTCTCCTGCCAACCGTGGTGCTCTGATGACCTGTGCCGTTGTATTGTGGGTCTTACTGGGAACTCCAGCTGGTTATGTGTCTGCTAGAATGTACAAGAGTAAGTACATACATTTATTTGATGYGATACAACGTGCTAAATTCAGAATTGCTAGGCTGAATATAAACCTCCAACTGGAGCTGGTGTCTCAGACAGCATATCTGCTTCTTGCTGTCGTTCTGCAAAATGGTTGGAAAAAGTCTTGACCTTGAAATTATTTTTACTTTTTCTCCTCAGCATTCAGAGGTGAGAAGTGGAAGACAAACGTCTTGCTTACGGCTCTGCTCTGCCCTGGGTTAGTATTGTTTCCCCTTGTTCTTTCCTTTATTCTTAAGTATAAATGAATCTGAGGTGGGAAGGAGTTGGGAAAAAGCAAATTATTATGATGCTTGTTCACATGATTTTGTTTATAGCACTTGCAAGTTGCTCTTCCTTTCGTGCATTGCCTATCTGTGAATATAAAGGAAAGTGAATTCTGAGGAGCAGGATCCTGGTAGTCTAGAACACAGCTTCTTGGCTTACTGTTTTGCTGTCAGCTGTGGGGGTAGGAGAAATGTGGCAACTCTCTTGAAAGGCTGTGTCACAGCCTTTGGGAATTAGTGCACCAGAACAGTGGGCACAGTGATGGAGTAATTCCAGTTTGGTACTGCAGACTCAGTATGTTCCAGGTAATTCTGGTTATAATCTCATTACATAAATGTAGATGGTGTCCAGTTTGGGATATGGCTGCAGTGTGTATCATACKGTGGCCAATACTGTCCTGCTCAGGAAGGGCAATAGCATTTATACCTTTTGTTTTCTCATAGCTCTCATGACCTTTTGTGAGAATTAATTGGGAGAGGCAGCAGAAACTAATTTCTTCTGTGAGTCTTTCATATTCCTTGGTTGCAACTTTGGGTACATGAACTTAGCCCTTGGTAAAAGTGGAAGAAAATATTATAAATTTCTTAAGGTATTTCTTCCCCTAAAAAACCTCTGAATGAATAAAATATGACTTGGCTTTAAGTAAAGTAGAACATAATCAAATGAAAAGTAATGTATTCAATAACAAMCAAATGTAGTATTTCTATGAGAAATCTTACTTCTAAACAAAATGTGCTTCAGTCTCCCTGCTGTCATTTAGATATTATCAGGAGAGAGAAGAAAATACATATTGGTGGAAGGAATACCGTGCTGATCACTTTAACTCCCAAATAAATTGAGTTTGAGAGGAAGTAAGATGACTGGGTCTGATAGAATATGAACAGATGTCCTGATTATGCTGTGCTAGTTCAGTGAATTTGCATAATATCATAAACAGCCCAAGGCCTTTTTAATCTCGGTAGACTGATGGGAGTTCATATTTGCAGTATTTTTACTAACTGGAGGRGGTAAGTGAGGTCTGTGTTACAAACCTGGGTAGATGATAAAGTTTAGAAAGACTTCTAAAATGGATTTGATTTTTATTTTTTATTCCACAAGGTGCTTACACCAGGGGTCGCTTGGGTGTGCTTGTTGAACAAGTCTGTTCTCCCGAACAGTTTTGGCAAGTGTCAGGCCTCTCCTAGGAAAAAGATAAGTTTGGCTGTTACTTTAATCTTTCCTCCTTCCTTTTTAAATTAAATACAATGGAAGGATGAATGTTTCCTTCAGAGCAGCTCAAATTTTGGCCCCAGGAACACTTTTTTAACAAAACCCAGACAGTGGTGCACTTTCCAGCACCCTTTCTGAGGCTGAATTTTCTGTGGTGTATCTTTGAATCCAGCAATAATAGCAATTCACACAAGCTATATTTTATGTGGGGTTCTTTTGCAGAAAGAAAGTTCTGCTTTGTTTTCAAAATGGGATGTTTGTGATCTTCATCTCATGTCTCTGAGTTGTTTTCTACTGTTTGTCCAGGATGTTTAGAAAATGAGGCAGATGTGTTTAATAGGGGAGGGAAGAACAGGTCTGGAGACATGTCATTTAAATAAAGACTGATGCAGTCTTTATTTAAATTCTCCAGAGATGTGGGCTACTTAATATGTGTAACTCCATGTTTACACAAATGTTTCTGTTGTAGGGCAGAGCTCTCTTTAATCCCCCCTTCCCCTTATGACACAAACTGTGGTAGTACAGTGGTGCCATGGGGCTTCCTAAATAGGAGATTTGGCTATCACTGTATTTTATTCAGAAGGACTTACTGTTTAATAAAGGACCAAAATAAAGGAAATATTTCTGGTAGCAATAGGAGAAATTGTCTATATTTTTCCATTCTTTGTATAATTTTTTTCCATGTTTCTGTTACTTTTTGGTATTATATGCAGTCTTTATTTAAATAATGGCTTTACCATAGGTACCAACATTACAACGGTTGGATGGTGCAGGCTTTTTTACTTCAACTGCACCAGTGGTGAAAGGAACTAGGACTGTYGGGAAGCTGGAAAATTGCAAGAAGCTACGTTTATTTAAAATTATTTGTTTTTTAATACTAAGTGATATGTATTCTTTCCTGAATATTTTTATATCCTTTGTGATTTTGTATTTCAGGATTGTCTTTGCTGATTTCTTCATTATGAATCTCATTCTGTGGGTGAAAGGCTCCTCAGCTGCCATCCCTTTTGGCACTTTGGTTGCTATCCTTGCTATGTGGTTTGGAATTTCAGTCCCACTAACCTTTGTTGGTGCCTATTTTGGCTTCAAAGAGAAGGTAGGGCCCTTTGAATACAGATTTGAGATATACACATGTCCTGTGTAGTTGAGCCATTGATTCTCGAAGCAAGAATTCTAGAAGGATCTGGTTGTATTGAAACATCTATGGTGCTGTGATTCTAAAATATTTTGTTTTGTCATGATTTTGAACAGAGTGTATATTTTAATGTCTCACTAGTTTTTTTCCTGTCGATTCACTAGAATCAGGTTTTAATAATGTTCTTGGAGATCCTACTTGCCTTTTGCTCTTCAGCAATACCTCAGCAGTATTGCTGAGTTTTCAAGTAGTACTTCCAAGGGGCTTCAGTGTTGTACCTCACTAGTTTGAGGTAATGCCAGATAACTAAGAAAAAGATTGTGTTACTGGATTGTTTAAATTTTATTTTGTTTTTAGTTAAGGTCTAGACGGATTTATATCCTTTGTGTTCAGCCTGCTTACGGGCCAATAGTTGGATTGTCTAAAGCACATGTGCATTTTCCTAATGATGAACATCGAGTTTGTAGGGTTTTTTGTCTGATAACTTGTGATAGTTTATGAATAAAAATACAGTTACGTTTATCAAATCTTCAGATGCTAATATTAGGGGAAAGTAATCTTATTTATGATGTAATAATTGATCTTTTATTTCCATTTATTTTTTTTGTAGCCTATTGAACATCCAGTGCGTACAAACCAGATTCCTCGCCAAATCCCGGAGCAGTCATTTTTCACAAAGCCATTGCCTGGTATCATCATGGGTGGTATCTTACCCTTTGGCTGTATTTTTATCCAACTTTTTTTCATTCTCAATAGCATTTGGTGAGTATCATTTTTTTTTTCCCTCTAGTTAGACAGGTTTGATAATACAGTGAGTTTGAATGGCCTGAATCAACTGATAAAAGGAATAAACGGATTTTAAAAGTTTCTGATAATTTTGCAGATTTTACGGAATTTTCCGAGTCTTTATATTTATTTCTATGTAGGCTGAGAAATCTTACAGAGCAGTTTTCTAAATCAGTTCTTAAATGCAAATACATTAGTTTAGCTTTTCATATAAGTCCTAAAAAAAAGTAGAAACCATGTAATGTAGCTGTGCCAATATAATCAAATGAAAACCAGGTAGGTTTTTATTCTGGACTTTTGTAGTTGAAATTAGCAAATCCTTAAATTGTTTCTCATTATTCATCCTATGGAAGGGAAGCATGGAGGGAATATGCAACTAATACTCCCTCTATCAAATCCTGTAATTGTCAATTACTGCTGTAATTGTCACCTTCACTCAATGAAGTTAATTTAGTTGCTTCTCTTATCTGAAAGATACCAGATTAAAAGCAAATGAACATATTTCCCTTGCATTTATTTTGGTGGGTGATTTTGTGTTTGGTTAGCACTTGGGTTTAAGTCAGCCTCTGTCTTTGGATAGACTGGGAGTGGAGGAACACCTGGTTGGATGTAGTGAGGAGATACAGAGACGCTTGGAAATCTTAGCTGCAATAGCAGGAAGGAAGTTGGTAATGAAACTAGGGGAAAACAGAGGTGGTGCAGGAATTGGGGAAGCTGAAGATCTCCCAGCAAGGACACCTGAAGTGGTAAACATCTTTGGTGAAGATTGCCTGTAACTGTTTTCTGTGAAAGTTCATACATGCCAATTTCAGATATAATTAAAGACTTCATTGTCACAAAAAAAAAAAAAAAACCCAAAAAAACACAGGCATTCTGTAAAGCAGTGGTTTTATTGCTGTTAGCTTAAATAAATGCATGTTTACAGAGTACGTTCAGGTAAAGGAAACTTTTTATGAATTAGCCAGTAGTGGTATAGGCACAGTGACCCCAGTGATGTGGGGGTTTTGGGCTTGTTTGGATTTTTTTTTGGTTTTTGATTAACTCAGCATCAGGTAATGTGACACTGTGAATTAACTGAGAACTTCAACCAAAAATGAGACTTATGTTTTTATTTGTTTTTAATTATAGGTCTCATCAGATGTATTACATGTTTGGATTCCTGTTCCTAGTTTTTATAATTCTTCTAATTACATGTTCAGAAGCAACAGTTTTGCTGTGCTACTTCCATCTGTGTGCAGAGGTAAAAGTTCCAGTTCTGATGTAGATACCACTTGTAACTGGAAGATGTTAGAGGTGAGGTATGCGCATACACTGTGAAGTGCTGGACACTATGAGCTGACTGCATTTTCAACCTTGACATGCCTATTTCAGACACGCTTCTGAAATGCACCTTTTGCTTCAAAATCTACTGCTGGCAACAGAGAAGCAAAAATAAACAGCCTTGATCAGGGAACAGCCTAGAATTTTCATGTTCCTCAAGGAAGCAATACTGCTGACTTTGAAGAAAGAAAATACCATGTACCATATTGGAATTTTTCTGAGCTAAATTTTGCAGAATTAAATGTGTTTCGTAAGACAATGTTATTTTTTCACCATCTTCTCTATATTCTGTTTCCTACATAATGATTCTTGGTGAATGGTTTGTTTCTTTCAGGACTATCACTGGTGGTGGAGGTCRTTCTTGACCAGCAGCTTTACAGCAGTTTATCTCTTTATCTATGCAGTCCATTACTTCTTCTCCAAACTCCAGATAACAGGAACGGCCAGCACCATTTTATATTTTGGTTACACAATGATCATGGTCTTGATCTTTTTCCTTTTCACAGGTAAGTACAGTAATCTGGTTTTTAAATGAGGAACATCAGGTGAAATTTAGACTACATGAAATGTTAAATACAATTATGATTTTTTAGGCAGTGTTACTTATGGTTTGTGACACACACATCACAAGATATTTTTTACATTTTCTTCTTAACTTGAAATTACATTTATTGATGTTATATAATTATAATTAATTTTCCTTTATTGAATATTATATTAGCCGTGAGTTCAAACCATCATATTTTCAAAGGGCTGTTCTTGTTCACTTTGATATCGAGTGTTAATTCTGGGTTTCATAATTGGTTCTAGAAGGTCTATAGTAAGAGGTAATTGCACTCTGCATAGGGAGGATAAGAGATATTTTCAGCCTTCTCTGTCACCAAGTGCAGAAGGTTGGTGTGGGGAAAAAGTGACTGTTGACAAGATAGTTTGAGTTCTGTCAGAGTTGTCTTCTCTGCTCATTAAGCACCATGTCATAATGAAGAAAGTGTACCTTAACTGGAGGAACCTATTTGAAATACAGCTATCCAGCGTTAGTTGTCCAACTTTTCTGATGTTACTCATGCAGACTGTGTGTCTTCTACGGGATTACTCTAATAATCACTTGGCTGAAACTATAATTTCGAGGTTGGTTTGATGAGAAATCTATGCCAAATTTACCATGTGTCAGTAAAATAGGAAGCTCTTTGAAGGGTACTGGCCCTGAAAAATAGCCAGGAGTGTTTTATCTTTGTGCTCATCATACTGCTGCTATTTTATGTGTAGATTGAACACATAAGTCAGATGGAGTCAGATCTTTTAGGTGTTACTGATTGGCATCATGAAATACTGCAATGACAGAGCTACAGAAAATGCTTGTTAATATGTGATGGGCTGTGCATAAAAGCAGCCTTGATAGACGCTCCCAAGATTTTTAATAGAGGATTTTTTTGTTGGTGGTGTGATAGTTACTACTTTTTAACTTCTTCTGCCCGTTTGTTGAAAGCTGCTCTATTTACTTTGTGTTCACTTTGTGAAATGGCATCACTTAGTTAACTGCAAGTAAATGCAGTTAAAAAAGAGTGGCTAAAACACGAATAAGAGTAAATCTTAGTATCAGACTTCAAGTTTGTCAGTGTAGCAGTGAGATGGACCTCTTTCATTTTTGTTTCTTCTACTACTGGTTGTCAACAGAGCAAAAAAAAAAAACCACTTCATAATAAACTGGAGAAAATTACTGTGTGTGAACAAAGCTGTTAAGCTGTAGAAATTATATTAAGTAACAGAATTTGCACTTATTGCTAGGTTTTTGTTCTTAAGATATGTGTCTCTTCTTAGAAGGGCAAAAAGAGATCTAAAAAGAAGCAGGGGAAAAAAAGGACGATTTAATTTTTCTATTTTCTAATTATTAGAAGGCAAACATGGAAGTTTGCATATTGCCAGTTAAACCCTTGCTTAAATCCTGGTGAAACAGACAAGCTCCACATGTCTTCTATAATATATCTATCTATATTAAAAAAAACCCAAAAACTATAGTGTAAAATGTTTTAATTACTTTCATACTATCGCAATATGTTAATATGGTTTTAGCATAGGTTAGTTGCTATCCTGCCAATTTTGATTTCACTTACAAGATGCAAATTGGTAGAACTAAAAATATCGCCTTCATATATAAAATGATAATTGGAATTGTCATGGCAGCTACTGAAATGGTGTTGAAAACTTCAGATATGCAGATCCTGGAATTCTTGATGTGAAGGCCAGTGGGGCCCCAGAAGTACAATAATAAACGGTGCTGCTGTTATTTTTGCAGCGTCATTTTTTTCTTCTGAAAAAAACACCACAGTGGTGCCCACTATGCTGCATTTGTAGCTCATGAGGAAAGATACAGCATGGTCCCCCTTTTTTTTACATTTAATAGAATAGCTAGTCACTAGAAAGCTGATGAGTATAGCAGATACACGGAACGCTTAATAAATCCTAGCTAATGTAAAATGCTGTGGTAACTTCCTTGTCTGTATTTAGTTTGGTAATAGATTTTTGGGCCTGGAATGTAAGCTGGTCTAGACAGATGGCACAAGCAGAAGATACCTAACTTCGCTTTGTTTTGTAAAATATTCCTTAGTAGCCCTTGTTTTAGAAAATAATGGTTCAGTCCTTCACAGTTTCTGGAGGTGAGGGAGTTTGCCAATGTGATTGTACACACTGTTTGCATTAATAGTGCTCCCAAAATGATACCTTGATCTGTTACACTTAAGATACCACTAAGTGTTTTGGTGTTCTCTATTCTTGCCTGTTAGGTCTCAGCAACTGTGACAGAAATGTAAAGGGCAGTGTTAATACCTCTTCCGTGCCAGTGCATTGCGTTACCCTGGGCATTACAAAAGGGATTGTAATGAATACGTAAATAGGAACTGAGTGCTTGTGCGGCAACACCGACAGTAATATAATCTGACCAGTGAAATCTAATAATTAGTGTGCACACCCAAACCAGACAATTTTATTTTAATGCTCAAAGTGCAGCTAATCTTTCAAGAAATAACAAGTGTGGTTGGATTTGGGTAGTTACATGATTACATGCATTTTATTTGAGGAGACAAAAAAATGCTGAACATAGTCAAAGCATGTTTCTTTACAGTGACCTCTATTTTTGAACATCATTTTCACTTGTGAGTTAATGCCATTTTTAAAATTGAGTTTTGATCTTCTGGGTAGATTGTGTTTAGAATCCGAGATTCTGAAGCACCCACCACTGTGCGGTGATTGAAACCAGTATGATACAGAGAGCTTTTAAGGTACATGAGAAGTATCAGCCAAGTGCAGGGTGCTTTTCTGTTTGCTTTCTTTCAATCTGCTCGTGCTTTGAATTCTTTTTTCTTCATTTAACAATAAAGCTAGAAGAGATGAGTGGCGCAGAAGAGTCTGCTTAATGTGTTTTGACATTAATACATGCAATAATCTTTGGTTTTAATTTTGCATTTACACTGGTTTACTAATAACTTTGCCGTACTCAGTTATATGCTKACTTTGTGTTTACATCTTGTTTCTGTGTATCAGAAAGTGGTAGTATAGGTATTGCAGACCAGAGTATTCAGCAGTATAGAAAGCTGAGGACAAGMTGATCAAAAAACAGCTGAGGTGTCAGTGTCTCCCAGCGAAGTATAAATGAATTTTTGGATGTATCTTGCTTCTTTGCTAAAAGAAGGATAAATGTGTTATCCTCACATCTGGATTCCTGAGTTTTAAATGGTTCCTGCAAAAGATCTTTTAGCTGCACCTCCTACAATAATCAGTGCTGTCCAGTAAGCTGCTGTGCACTGGGATAGCATCATTTCCTAGTCTAGTAGGAATTATTTTAAAAGTCAGAGTCTTACAATTTGCAGGTGACCCACTTAGGGGAAAAATAAAGATWTATCCCACAACACTGGGTTCTTCAATGCAGACCATTCAGGTGCTTTTTCATTCAGCTTAAGCTGTTGAGTGGTTAGGATTGGTTAAAGATGAGTTCCTTCCTCGGGAAATATGTATATGTGATGAAATGTAACTCATGTAAAAAATCCAAATGCTTAATAAAGAATCTTCTAGTTACTGTATCAGTCACAATAGTGAAAAAGACTGCAGCTGATTGGGCTGTACAGACAGAAAAGGATAATACAAAACTGGAGGAGCTGAGTGCACGATCTTGTGAGTGCCTGCAGCGGAGCTGGGAATGGCTGTCCCAGGGCTGGCACGTAGCTATGTCTATGAGATGCAATTCAGTGTGATTGAGATTTTCCCTTTTTCTAGCTGTTAAGGCTTAACATGTCTGTGGCAGTTTACAACTAGGTAAAAGTGTGAGGAGCAGTGCATTGCTTCTTTTAGAGGCTGAATTAATTGACTGGGACTCTGCCTCCTTGCATGTGAAGTTCTTAAAGCAATTTAAAAGTAAATATGATGGACCGTGTCTTTGCAATTTGCCTATAGTAGTGGCTGTGGGTGAAAACCACAAATTTGTTCATCAGCTTAAAAATAGAAAATTGGTATATACTAATGTCATTCAGTGTTTTGGTTTGTCACTGCTGCTTTCACTTGCTGCTTGTTCTGAGTGCTGTGGTAGCACTCAGAGCATTCCTTTGCCAAAAGGAAGTAACATGTTATATAGAAGAAGAAATTTCTGTTCTCAAGAATAAATAGAGCACAATGAATCTTAAACTGGGACGTGAATTTTTCCAAGGCCTTGTTATATGTCATAATTCATAGGTGGCAGTGAAGTATTGTACACCTAAAAAAAAATGGTGAGGGGCTGACTTCATATGTGTATAAAAGTCTCAACTGGTGCTTGTGTTCCTGCTTGTGGGGGTGGCAGTACGGTCGTCACCTTGGATCTAAGTCAGTAACCTTGCCTGGGGATGAATGTGTGGTGTTAAATTTAAGAAGTGCTATCTTTCTGGATAGGTAGCTGGATTACAATGTTATAATCTGTCCTGCTGGGAAGTACTTTTTAGATTTCTCTTTCAGAGCAAACCATAGATAAACTAACCATTTTCACTTTCTCCTTTCAGGGACTATTGGCTTTTTTGCCTGCTTCTGGTTTGTAAGTAAGATTTACAGTGTTGTGAAGGTGGACTGAAAAACTTCGAAGTGTCTTTTGAACATATCTCCCTTGCTGTTTGATAATTTTTACCATGTATTGAAAAACATCCTGTGTAATTATTCTAATTTGTAAAAGCAGAAGACCAGACCACAGCGTAAAATACAGATTTTTATGGAAGGAAATGGCACTATTGCCATTTTGGTATAAACAAAAATGTTTACATCAGTATACTCAGTGAAAATGGTAATTATAGTAATTCAGAAATTATATCCAAAATTTGATTTAGAATAAGTAAGAATTCTGTGAACTAGTTTATTTGAAAAATTGAGTGCATTATACAGTCCTGCAGCTGAATTTCCTTGTCACTAGGGGTTGGTTTTTTTTGTTGCCTATTTTGGTTACCATTTATATACCATGAAAGCCTAGGACTGTCAAGTAAGTCTATGTAAAATGTGAATTGTTTTTAACTTAACTATGATTGTACATATTATCTTGCACCTTCTTTACAACTAGTTATCTTCTTACAAATGTACATGCATTTAGTGTAATGTAGACTTTATTAAAAATATTGACGCTGGTTTTTGTTCAAATAAAACTGTACAACTCCAGCTCATGTGTTTTCTTTCCTGTTAATTAGGTCTTCACTACATGGACACAGATCATGTTAGTTTGACCAGTTGATGGGTTTTGAGTTTTATATTGCTTATAAGCAGTTTGATTCTGCCTTTGGCTGCAGATTGTGCGAGCACTGATGGGTCACTTGAATCCGTGGCTGTAGGATTCTGGACCTGTGCATCAGCTCTGTGCTTTCTCCGATTTACCCCAGATATTTTTTGCTGGTCAAACCATTACTTTCTATCAAAGATAAACCTCCTTTTTCTTTTTGTAGCCATTTGAAACATATGTCTCCTTGTTCTTTTTTCTTTGAGGATTGATTGAGCTTGTTGGGAAGTTTAGACATGAACCTAGTGGGCTTCAGAATGGGTGTTTCATAAAGGTGAAGCCTTTTTCCTGCTCTGCAGAGCTTGTGCTTAAATGCTGGATTGCAAAAGATGGAGTATATTAATAGCCTCTTCAACTGTAAGATTGCAGGGATTCTTCTCTCAGCAATGTCAAGGTTTTAAAGAGGTTTCCCAAAATCCTGAATTGCCCCGGGAGATGAGCAGTCATTGCAGACATAATTCCAGTGACTATGTTACAGACACTTTGGGAGTGTTCATCAGATTAATGGGTGAAATACTCAAAGCTTATTAAATGGCATATGGAAACATTCATCACTGGAAGCTTTCTAGCACCTAAACCCACAATTTAACAAGACCCAAAATGATTATCTTTTCATAGTCATATAAACACCAGGTAACTGCAGTTAATGTTTATTATCCTTTCCAAGCTCTAACCTTTGGTATGAGCATTTCAAGTCTCACCTCTGTGTGTAGTTGTTCCTACAACCGTCCCCAATGTTGGGACAGATCACCTGGCTAAGGCAGGATGACTGCCAGGCCACATCTTTTGAACAGTGCCTGTGGCATAAAATTGAAGCTTTAGACAACTTAAAAAACTTCTAGCATTGGTGTACCAGGAGGAGCAGGCTACAGTAAAGATAGTTTCCGATGAGGTTCAGATACACTCTCGATGGCAACTCAGCCTTGCAAATAATTTCCCTTCCTGCCAACAAACTCTCCATTTCACATCTGTTCCCTCCCAGAGGTGGAAAACAGCAGTATCATTGTTAGAGAAATGCAGTTGTGGTTGGTTATCAGCTGGGTCAAGAGCATCATTCACTATTAGAGATTTCATGCTTTTGAAATTGGTGCTGCTTTATTTATATAGGTCCTTTTAAATCTTGTGTTTACAGTTTGAGGGGATTTTATAGGATACTTTAAAAAATGCTGCATGAAGTTGCTTTTAAATTTTACATGTTCAAAGAGAGATGAATTCATGACAGAATTTGGAGCTACAATTGCCATAAAATTTCAGCAGGAAATTTTGCCAGATCAATAAATACTCATTTCACAAGAGGCAAAGTAAAATGGGTTGTAAAATTGTCTTTGTGGTGCTTTTACTGTGACTACTACTCAATTGAAACAGAGCAGGTGGGTTGAACAGGTTCCTAAAGCTTGCCAGTAGTCCAGAGCCAAAGCTGTGAAGTAAAATTGGTTGTTCTCTAGCTGCTATTAGAGAACTTTTGTGTGTGTGTGAGATTTGCTACTTCTGCTACACTCACCCTGCCAAAGAGCCAACCATCCCTTTTGCCTCCCGAGGTCCTCTATGTCTAAATACTTTTGCTGTCCCCAGATCCAAGATTGGTGCTGTTTTGTAGAGAAACTGAATATATACCCTCAGTAACAGATAAGATAAAGCAGATCCAGTGTGAGACTCTCCTGTTAATAACCACCCAAATCCAACATACTTTGTAGAAATGTCATGTTTGTCACATTTTTAGCAAAACTTGACAAGTTACAACAGAACCTCAAAGGAAGGGGGAATTTCAGTGCTGATGTTTTACATTTCATTCCACTTGCTTGAACAGTGTTGAACAGCTACAAGCATCCTTGTTCCTGAATGGAAATGCCAAAAAGGTGCAGATGTGCAGCAGAGGGGAGTTGGGGGTGGTGTGTGCRTGGGATCCATGCCCAGAGCTGGGGCCTGTGAATGGTGCTGCTCTGGATGAGCAGTTCCTGTGTCCTATGGCCAGACCCGAGGAGCTGGGTAACTGGAAATCACTGGTGTGTGTAAGCCTTTCTGATGGGAACAGCTGTAACTTTGCTATTATCGGTCAGGTTCGTTTTTGAATTCTGATTTACCTTTTTATTTTTTTTAACTAATAGTCAATTTTATGTAAATGGTTCAGAGATTGGGAGTTGATTTCAAAGATCATCCTCCATAAAGTCTCTTGATCATATTTTATGGTTCCTCTGACTTATGGGTGCAATCTTGTATCCCTGGGATATTCATGACATGCTTGTCTAATTCCCCATGGTAGCTAATCTCACTTCTCTACCTTAAAAATACTAAAATGTCTTTAAAGCAACACTGGTAAAAAGGCAACTTTTACAACCAATCTTCAGCTCCAATTGCTCCTGCTGGGGAAGTCATAATGATGAATTTGTGACATAATTTCTGTGGCAACATGCTGAGATTTCATAAATGGGGATGGTGATTATAGAGCAGGATCAGGTGAAGCAGCATTATGATGGAAAAAGCCTCAATTCAAATGCAAAGTGTTCAATAATGGCATAGGGGATACCAGAAATTACTGGCAATTTATTTTTTATTTGGGTTAAACTCCTCATTYAGTCTTCTGCAGCTGGAAAGTCACTCTTCTAAGGATGTGAGCAAAAGAAATGGCTGGAAAACATATTTTCTCCTCTCAAGAGAACACAATTGTCCTAATTTAATAATAATTAATCAGTGTAATTAAGAAGGATGTTCTCTATTTCTGTGATTTCTCCCATTTAAGACTCTCCAAGTGCTTCACAAACCCTAATTGATTCCACCTTACTACTCCCTGTAGCAGGACCACATAATTTACCTCATTTTCTGGAGACAGGGAGGTGTGTGAGCCAGGTAAATTGATTTAACCAGGTTAAATGACTTGCCCAAGGCCACACAAGGAGCTGAAGTGAGGAAAGATCTGTGTTTTAGAGATCAGCCTCCACACAGTTGGGTTTTGGCTGCAGGAGAGCTGGTGCAGCTATTGCACAGCCATGGGAGTGGGGGCCATGCACTTACATCTCCCAAATAAATCTGATGGATTTGTGTTGTCCAGCACGTAGAGCTGGGAGTAGGAACAAGCCCCATGGGCACACATTAGTGGTGAAACCAATTGGTTTTTCATTAATTATTCTCACTGAAATTGGAAACAACTTGGTTTGTTTTCTAGATTTTCTTTTTCCTTCTTTATTCTTTTCCTCCAAATCATTTGGAATCTAAACTGTTTATCTGAGGATTAAACTAATTGCTTCTGCAAAATGCCTTTCCCACACCATCTAGTGTACATCTGTTAACTGGGGAGGGATAACTGAACCAGTTGCCAGATGGTCTCTCAAACAGGGGATTTGAGTGGCGAGGAGCCAAGGAGCTGCCAGTTGGTGGTTTGTGAGGTTCTAGCAAAGAAGTCACGCTACATGCACATTCTCCTTGGTTACTCTTCTCTGCCTTAATGAAGATACTGCCTAATGCACTAAAGCAGCCATTAGCCTCCTCCCTGCACTCTCTCCTCCCCAAAAGGGGTCAGTTTATAAGCCTGATTTGTCTGACTGAGGCAGGCTTTTCCAGGAGTTCGGCTTCTCTCACGCTATGTGTGCAAAGGCATTTTCTCAAGTATTCAATCCCATACCTGCTGGCTGCCTCTTTCCATGCCATAGGGGAAAGATGCTGTTGTTACAAAGCTGCTCATTTGAAGGGGTTTTTATAGCTAGAAAACAAAAGAAAAAATCATTACTTAGTCTTGATTATCAAATGATACACTTCTATATATGCACCTACATGTAATACATATTGGCTCACATCACACTGACTTTTAAAAACTTCAGGTTGAATGAAGGTTGAATGCTGTGCTTTGTATTCAAAAAGCATTCAAAAGTGCTTGGAGCAGGACACAGCCCTGCTATGCTAGGAAGAAATGTTGCATCAGAAATCTGAAGAGACCTTTCAAAGCAGAGTAATGCAGGTATCCTTGACCAACACTCAGAACATCTTTCCCAGGACTGGGCCACAGCTTGGATTCCTCAGGGGTGACAACCAGCTGGTGCGTTTTGCATGGGACTGCTGCTTGGAGGACAGCTRTGGCATCCAGAACGGAGCCTGGGAATGGACCTGGCCCTGTTTCTGAGCGTGCCCTTGGCATGGGCTGCGGTGCCCATTAGCTGTCACAATCAGCTGTGGAGTGAAAAACACACATCTTGAAATGAGTTAGTGACAAAGGGACTTTCTTCTAGTTGAAGAGGTCTGGGGTGTTGCAAGGTGGAACTGGAGTGTCACAAAACTGGCTTGTGAATGCAACCACCACTGTTGTCTGTATGTCACCATTGTCCCTTAAGTGCTGCATCTCTTCTGGGACCATGTCAAATCTGCTCCCAGCCCTCCTGCTGAGCCCCCTGTTACCCATTTGTCATTGTGCCTGCTTGGCTTCTCAYGTATCTGCAATACCGAGGGAGGACAAAATGTACATGTGGCCCTGGAGGGGGCAGATGAATGGAGATTTGGGCTCAGAAAGGAGTTTTGTCTGCTGTCTGCATGCGAAGGTGCAATTAAGACCTTGTCTGGAATTCTCAAAGAATACAAAGTAGAAAATACCATGCTTTCTTGTGAGTGGAGAAAGCAGAACAAAGCATCCTGAACAGGATCCATCAGGAGCACAGTGCTGCTGCTTGGATGCTCAAAGAGCAGGGCCCAGAGGCTGCCCTTGGAGCAATTTTCAATATATCACACCAAATGTAGATAYGGGGATGTAACAAACCCCATCAGAGCAGTCACACACTTCCCATCYCTGAGCAGGGAGCTGGTGCTTCCTCAGCCACTTCCAAGAAGTAGAAGATGAAATGGGCTGCTTTTAAGGACAGATCGAAGAGATAAAAGCAAGCTGAGATACTGAGAAAGTGCACAT